CTTACTGACTCAAAAGTGACACCCGTCAGTCAATAATGTGCAATATGTTCAATAATATTTTAATATTTTAATTTATTCTTATTTTAATATTGTTCTTTGGTTATTTTATGTATTTAAAAGTTATATAAAAATAGTATACTTTTTGTAAATTACAAATTTGACTAATGGGTTAAATTGAAATTAAAACAAAATTATTGAATTTACAACTAAGTCCCTAAACATAATCTAATTCTCAAAATAGAACCCCAAAATCCAACACCCATAACTCCCGTCGTCAACCTCAGAATTCAGCCTCCTCCTGTATTGCCACCATCACTCCCGTCGTCGGTGAGCACGCGAGCTTCAGGCGGAGGCCGACCATACGGGTCCGGCGAGAGCACCGTTCAAAGCTTTCCTTTCTGCAGCTCTTCCAAACGAACGGCGGAGGTCGCCGGAAATGAGTATGGGTCGGCGATGGAGGGTGTCTGATGAGACGATGCGGCGGTTGGCTGCCAATGGAAGGTCGCCAGAGACGAATCCCGACGGCCGGCGAAGACGCGGCGACGACGGAGGAACCGGATGCGATTTTCATGTGATGTTCGATGCAGTTAGGACGCGGCGGAGGCATGACAGCGGTTAAGGCGCAGAGGTTCTGATGCACGTGTGTGTGACTGTCGACGGCGATGTGTGTGTCCACCGCCAGTGTGTGGTTTGGCTCCGTCGAGAGCGGCGGTGAGTGGTGGTTCGGTTGTCGCTGGAGCTACTGTTCGCCGGCAGCTGCTATTCGCTATCGGGAGTTGCAATGACGGGGTGAGAGAGAAGGTGCAGCAGTGACGGGGTGAGAGAGAAGGTGCTTATGTATGTGGTATATTAAGCGTGGGGCCCACTGCATAATGAGGAGTGGGTCCCACCTATTTAATGTGGTGTGGAAAAAATACTATAATACCCTTAATGATGGTATAATTTTGGTTTTTTTTAAGTTGTTAGATCATTCAATTATATGGCTGAGATTTATTCTCGTTTCTTTCACTAAGACCCTTTCTCACCGGAGCGTGACCCTATATATATATATATATATATATATATATATATATATATATATATATATATATATATNTCGTGCAATGCACGCATAAACAGTATTATATAATAATAATGAATTAAAAATGTGAAGTTAATATATAATTCAATTTATCTATATTAATTATTAAAAATGCTATATAAGTTTTAACTTGTGCAAAAATACATAAAATATGTCTATTTAAAATAAAATAATATATATGTTTATAAATAATTAGAATGTTCTATAATTTTGAAAGACATGTGCAATCATCTAAAATTTTCCAAATACTATTAAAAAAATATGACGAAAAACAGCTAAATTGTTCTATGCTATTCTTTATATACATATCGTGAAATATAATTGTTAGTAAATTTACAAGTTTAATTCCTACACACTTATGAATGAAATGTTTTCTAAAACACACACCACTTTGAACTGCATAAGATAGATACTGTTGACGGTAGACCGCCAATGGTTTCTGGTTACGATTTAATGGACGACTTAATCGAGGGTTACAGAATATTAATACAGAAATGATGATGGATTAAGAAAAAATCGTAATAAAGCCAAGAGAAACTGAAAGGAAAAATTCAAAAAATAAAAAGACATCAATTTTGTCGATCTGTAGGTAAGATCGACAAGGAGAGTGGTGTTCTCCAGGAAAGTGTATTGAGAGTATGTGTGTAGTGTTTACATATGGTCGTGGTTGTATATTGCGATCGTACTGTCCCCCCATTTGTGAGGCCCGGCAATGGCGCATCAAATTTGTTGTAGCACAAATTGTTATATTTTACCGAGTACCGAATCAAATGATTCGTTTCCCGGGTCAATCCCTCAAGGAAGGCGGTTCGGAATTTAGCTTTGGAATCGATAACACACAAAAAGAAAATAAATCCTAAACATACTAATCAAATAGGGGGATTTAAGTAATTACCAACTAAGAAATAATAAAAAGCAATAATCTACTTAAGAATATAAATGAAACAAAGTTGGAGAAGCTAGCGAGTCGGGGACAATTAATTCAAGTTCTATTTGCACACCGGGACATTAATCATTCTATTCTAGATTGACGCTCTCGCTTAAGCATCTAGCGGTTCGCTCCCAATAACTCTTCGTAACAAGGGATTGAACATAGACGAACAAACTTGAGAATACGACACAGGCCAATTATCCCAATCCCAATAACTATTCGTAACAAGAGACAGGTCATCGACAAGCACTTATTTCAATCAAAAACCTATAGGCTATTCAATTACGAAATCATCTACCTCATGCGAGTCTAAGTCTAGGACTTCTCCCCTTTCGGTTCTAAAAGTCGCTAATTAAATTAGAAGAGAGTTAATCGACTAATCATATCGAATCAACAAAACCCTAACTCGACTAATCAACATTCAATTGTTTCCAATTGCATGATCGAAGTGTCACTCTTCGATTATATCAATCAATCAAACAAGATTTCATCAATTCGTAATCAAATCAACCCGCACAAGAACGAACAATTTAAGCCCGACAAATACACATTAAACGAGAACAATCATCCCCTATCCCTAGCAATCAGAATTAGCTATGTATCATGAATTCAACATAATAAAGCATTCCACCCCAAATAATCATTCTCATGAATTAAACATGATGAAAAATACTTACAATCAATCCAATTCCAAGAGTTGAATCCAAGTTACAATCTTAATCCTAATTATTAAGAAGAAGAAGAAAAAAATGAAAAAGAATGGTGAAGAGAAGAGGAAAAACGATGGAGAAGAATGAGAAGGAGAAAGGGAATTTTTTGTGTTTTTACAGGCCTAGGGTTCGTCGCCCAAAAGGGTAGAATTCATTTTCTGTCGAGTCCGATCTAATATTTATAGATAGGTGTGAGTCACGACGCTGGGAGGCATCGTGGGCGCGGAAGGAACGGGTGCCGCGACGCGGGGCTGTGCCACGGCGTGGGGAGGTGATGTGCCGCGGCGCAGGCTGGCGACACGGCGTGGCGTGCAGTCATGTTAGGAGTTGGCGATGCAGCGTGGCAGGATGGTATGGTGCGGGTGGCACGGCGCGGCGCTGGGAAAGCAAGAGCCTTAGTCAGGGTCGTGGTGCTGGCATGGCGCGAGACGGTACGGTGCCGCGGCGCGGAGGTCCTGCCGCGGCGCGAGGGGCGAGCTGCTAGCTTATGTGCACGACGTCCCTTCTTGGGCTCGTTTATGTTCGTTTGGACTCGGAATTTGATTCTGTTTTTTCCGGTGTGTTGCCAACGAACTCCTATATTTAATTACGCTTGCTCAACTAATGTTTTCTTGAAATCCTATCCTCCAGAGACTCCCGATATGCACACAAAAAACGACAAGAAAAATAGAGAAAACGGGAAACCAAACCAAAAACACTGAAATGACTCCAAATAGATGAAAACAATGAAAAACTAGAAAACGACTAAAAACCAACTAAAAGACCTAGCATGGGGGAAAAAGAAATGAAAAATAATAAGAAAAAATACAACAAAAATGGGACAAACAATAGTAGTAACCATATTTATACACTAAAATGGTAGGGTTGTTGATCTCCCGATTGGCCCACCGATCTCCCCCGAAGTCTTCTCGAGGAAGCCTGGCGGTCACCCACAAGTCTGATTTATGAACTGATAAAGCTGATGGCACTGCCCAATCTGCCCCATCAAGCTCTGCATGGATACAAACGGTGCCACTTTACGCCCCTTCCTGACACCTAGCATTAAATGCACCATCACATTTTTTTTATATAAATACTGACCCCCTCTGGGTCCAAAAAAGACCATCGATCGATTAGTCATCAACAACATATCACTACACCGTCATTACATAAATTTCTCACAATCCGATCTTCCGAGATCATACACTGATACACTCATCATACTCAGTTGTATGTTCATTGTACAAAATTCTTAATAAAAACCCTGAAAAACAATTTTCTTGCCGATCACCACAGTCGATCGATAATATCGGTGTTTTTATTTTTCTTTTTTTACACACACTTATTTTATCTCGATTTATCTATATTCATTATCATTAAAATATATTGTAGATATTTCGTAACCCCTGATTAAACTGCCTATATTTTTCCTAACCATTGGCGATCGACCGTCACCATAAACATTAAACAATTAATATGCGCATCTCATAAATATATAGTGGATATATTAAATAAATAATGACAATAAGAATAGAAATAAATAAACTCACGCACGTTCTAGAAATCTACTAGCCAAAGTCATGCCCAAAACTGACGCAATTTCCTCGGCTGATTTCTGCTCACGTCCGTTCATTGTTGCTGAAACATTTGTTGTGAGAAAACCATATGTCAACGCGTTCCTTATGAAAATGCAACCATCTTCCTTTACCCCGTTCTTTCATGTATGGCGTTGGAAAAACACTCTTGGAAAAATTTCATGCGCATCAGGAAAAATTCAACCAGTCCTAGTCGTCTTCTCTGTTCTACAGTCCGCCGACCATCCGTTTGCAACTCCGGTCAGCAGCGTCACTATGACATCCAACCGCCACCAACCTTCGCCAAGCAGCCGAGAACAACCGACACTTGCCCAGACGGCTTCCGAGATTCGAGCTCCGTCGTCCTGCCATTCTGGTCATTCTTCAGCCGCCGATTTTTTGCCAAAACTTAAAAGCCATATCGTAGCCCGACCCGCTCAGACCAACTGCCGCCAGACCGCCACTCAACCTGGCCGTTTTCGTGAGTTCCTTCTTGCCAAAGCTATCCAATGACTTCCAGCGGAAACATCACGTTCGTCTGGCCACAACCCGCTCGACTTAGACCAGTTTCTGATTGGGATCCAAACGTAGTACACTGCCAACTATATTAGCATGTCGTCCCGCCATGTTCAGTTTCCATGTCCGGCGTTGAGTTTTCACCAACATGGCCAGACTGACAAGGCCATGTTTAGAACCCGATGGGTGAATTCATCTGCGCAGCTAGTTCATTCACTGCAGGCAGCCCAAGCCACATCGGCTGCATCACCGACCACCCCAAACTTAGCCATGCCATAGCAAAAGACGACCAACCATCCGATCGCGTGCCCCGGTCTCGAGTTTTTTGTTCGTCCGCGTGGTCGGACAACTTCCCGCGACTCACCACCAACCATGACAACATTCATCGACCCAACCATTAAGGACTTTATCCATGGAAAGAGAGATCCTAGCGTGTGATCATTTCTAAAAAATCTGCTGATTGTTTCCTTGAAATTATTAGAATTAATGTTTTTTTAAAAAAAAATTTAAAAAACAATTAGGTGGAAATTTTATAAAATTTTCAAAAAATTTATTTATATTTGTAATTTTGAAATTTTAGGCCGGAATCTAAATGATTTTTAGATACTATTTCAGGTGAATATTATTGTCTCTTTACAATAGATTTTAAGTTATACAATAAGCATATCACATTTAATAAAGTTAACAATTTGTAAAAATAAAAAATACAGTTATAAATAATACGTATCTATAAATCCCCTCTATATATAATTTCAGAATGCGCTGAGCCTACGCGGCAAAATCTTATGCTTCAGAATCCTATTTGGCAAAAAGTCATGCTTTGGAGTTAGACTTGGATATAAATTAATATTTATATTAATTGTATTTTAATATTGTTTCCTAATATAACCATTGAATTGAAAATATATTTTAAAATTTGATAACTTTTGTATTTTTTATCGGTTTTATATATATAATATATCAAATTAATCATCTTTTGATGTGCTTCGATTTGACATCCATATTGTATATATAAAATAAATAAATTATATTTATCTTTATAATAATAAAAAAATTATTTATCAAAATTAATTAGAACGTGCTTCGCCGGCGGTAGTCCGGGTTAGCCGGAGAACGTGCTTCGCCGCTCACCCTCGATTTGGCCTCGTCTCTCCACTTCAGCACTCCGCCGAAAGATGCGCCTAGGGTTTGCAGATCCCCTTTCTGCGCCCTTCCTTCGGGTGCTTCGACGAGAGTGGGCTGGACGGAAGACGGTGGCTGGAGAGGGGGTGAGGTCGGGTCGCCGTGGTCGGACTGATGGGCTCGGTGTTTCAAGCTGGATTCAAGGTACGCTCGATTGGTCCTTGTGGCTATCTCGCCGTCGATTGATACGGTTCTGTTCCGCCGGAGTTTTGGTGACTGTAAGAGGTGAGTTGTGTTGGCTGCATTCTTCGGATGCCAATTTGTCTCGGTTTTCTTTTGGTTGTGGTGGGCGGGTGCCTTGTTTTATTCCGGCGGGTTTGGCTCTGTCCATCAGGCTGGGTGGGGCGGCTGGACTTGGATCCTTCAATTCCTCTCTCACGGCTCTTTGTTTTGAGTTTTGGGTTCTAGCCGGCTTCCGAATGAGCTGGGGTTTCGGCGATTTCGGGTCGGCTTGGTTCTTGGCTTGAGGTGTTTGCCGAGTTGGGGATGAAGTGGTTTCTGCGGTTGGAGTGAGGGTCGACTATTGGGAGTAATTTGGGGTTTCGGTCTCTGGGTTCGCTAGGCCTTCGGCAGTGGTGAGCGGGGTTCCGCTGCTTTGAATTCTCCAGTAGCTGGCTTAGTTCGATGGCCTTCTTGGAAGTCTCTGCTGAGGGAGGGATGCCTTTTAGTTGTTGTTTGGTTTAGATTTTATTTTTAGTGTTTTTTGTTTAGGTTGTGTGGTTCTCTTTTCTGTTTCGTGTTTTAGGTTTGGGCCGTTGGCCCCGGTTTGCAGTGTGTCCCGCTATTCTCCTGTTGGGAGCCATCTCTTAGGCATTCTCCCAGTGGGAGTTCGGTGCGATGCCTTGTACTTTTGGTTTGGGTCGTTGACCCCAGTGAGCCCGAGTGTCAATTGTTATGCCCGAGTGTCACCTTATTACCCTGCTGGGGTCAGACACTCGGGTATTACTCTGTTGGGGTCCGACACTCGGGTAGTTGTTTTAGTTGTTTAGTTTGTTGTAGTTGTTGGTGTTGCTGGTTAGTTTTGTTGTGAGTTTTTTATTCTAGTGTTGCTAGCGGGATTCTAGGTGGTCTTTTGACCTGTCCTCCCACTTTTTTCTCCCATTGGGAGCTTTGTATCCTTTTCGGACGTTGTGCGCTTTTGATTTATAATAGTTCCTCTATCGTTTTGGGAAAAAAAAAAAAATTAATTAGAAAAAAAAATTCTTATCAATTATATTTATGTTTAATGTAGTTATATGTTCTAATGTAGAAAATTTATTATAATATAACACATATAAGTCGCACAAGTAACATGTGTCATACTAAATAAAAATCTTAATTAGTGTGTTGCATTTGAATTGATATTATGAAGTCGGTTTGTATTTTACTATTTATTTATGCATATATAATACAAAACAGTAATATATATCCTTATAAATAAATTTTAAATTTATTTATCAAACTAAATTAAATTATATCAAATAAAACTATAAATTTTATTATAAAGTAATAGAAATTGGTATGTATTCTTTTAAAAATGATATTTATTTCAAATCTAATTGGTATGTTGTCAATGTAATAAAAATAAATAATTATTTATATAGATTCTAAAATTACATATAATGTTAAAAAACTATGAAGCACGACTGATAGGACACTCGATGTATTAGGCACCTAATTAAGTAAAAAAAATAATCTATTTTGTTTAATATTAAATAAACATATTCTACACTTATGTATATACATATTATCGTATTATTTTTATTTATTTAAGATATATATTTTTGTACTTATGTAATAGTAAATAATATCGATATTTTTATATGATATAAGTAAAAAAAATTCAACACGGGTTGACATTTTTATTTAATGTACGAGTGTATAATTATTATGATTAAAAAAATATAATTTGACAATTTAACTAAAACCCAAAGTAATGTTTTATATAAAATTAAATTATTAAATTATTTTAGTGTTAAAAAAATATAAAAAATTTAATATTTTTTACAAAATCTTTCTAATTCAACACCCGTGTAATATACGGGTATTGTACTAATACTATATTAATTGCATAAAATATTATGAATAATTTAATTTCTAAAAATTTAAATGATTATGACCAATTAATCAATTGAAAAAATATAAAATTATTTTTGCTATAGTAATTATTTACACAATTTTAAAGAGTTTGTTATGCCATTCAAACAAATTAGCAATATAAAAAAACTTGTTTAGTGAGATGAATAAAAAATATTCATTATAACATAAATAGATTGAAGAATCTGTTTTGCTATAATTTTATTTTTTTTTTTATAATTGTGTAATTTTAATAAGGGTTTCAGTGTGAGCTTATAATTAGTTAATAGTATTAGTAATTATTATATGATAGAATAATAAAAGAATGTAATTATACTTGACTAATGCAAAATATAACGATTAATATTCATAATTTAATGAGAAAAATGAAAGAAAATAATTTAAATTAAGCAGTCTATAATTATATATAGATATTTGCGATAATTTTTAGTACAACCGCCACCAACCTTCGCCAAGCAGCCGAGAACAACCGACACTTGCCCAGACGGCTTCAGAGATTCGAGCTCCGTCGTCCTGCCATTCTGGTCATTCTTCAGCCGCCGATTTTTTGCCAAAACTTACAAGCCATATCGTAGCCCGACCCGCTCAGACCAACTGCCGCCAGACCGCCACTCAACCTGGCCGTTTTCGTGAGTTCCTTCTTGCCAAAGCTATCCAATGACTTCCAGCGGAAACATCACGTTCGTCTGGCCACAACCCGCTCGACTTAGACCAGTTTCTGATTGGGATCCAAACGTAGTACACTGCCAACTATATTAGCATGTCGTCCCGCCATGTTCAGTTGCCATGTCCGGCGTTGAGTTTTCACCAACATGGCCAGACTGACAAGGCCATGTTTAGAACCCGATGGGTGAATTCATCTGCGCAGCTAGTTCATTCATTGCAGGCAGCCCAAGCCACATTGGCTGCATCACCGACCACCCCAAACTTAGCCATGCCATAGAAAAAGACGACCAACCATCCGATCGCGTGCCCCGGTCTCGAGTTTTTTGTTCATCCGCGTGGTCGGAAAACTTCCTGCGACTCACCACCAACCATGACAACATTCATCGACCCAACCATTAAGGACTTTATCCATGGAAAGAGAGATCCTAGCGTGTGATCATTTCTAAAAAATCTGTTGATTGTTTCCTTGAAATTATTAGAATTAATTTTTTTTTCAAAAAAATTTTAAAAAACAATTAGGTGGAAGTTTTATAAAATTTTCAAAAAAATTTATTTATATTTGTAATTTTGAAATTTTAGGCCGGAATCTAAATGATTTTTAGATACTATTTCAGGTGAATATTATTGTCTCTTTACAATAGATTTTAAGTTATACAATAAGCATATCACATTTAATAAAGTTAACAATTAGTAAAAATAAAAAATACAGTTATAAATAATACGTATCTATAAATCTCCCCTATATATAATTTCAGAATGCGCTGAGCCTACGCGGCAAAATCTTATGCTTCGGAATCCTATTTGGCAAAAAGTCATGCTTTGGAGTTAGACTTGGATATAAATTAATATTCATATTAATTGTATTTTAATATTGTTTCCTAATATAACCATTGAATTGAAAATATATTTTAAAATTTGATAACTTTTGTATTTTTTATCGGTTTTATATATATAATATATCAAATTAATCATCTTTTGATGTGCTTCGATTTGACAATCATATTGTATCTATAAAATAAATAAATTATATTTATCTTTATAATAATAAAAAAATTATTTATCAAAATTAATTAGAAAAAAAAATTCTTATCAATTATATTTATGTTTAATGTAGTTATATGTTCTAATGTAGAAAATTTATTATAATATAACACATATAAGTCGCACAAGTAACATGTGTCATACTAAATAAAAATCTTAATTAGTGTGTTGCATTTGAATTGATATTATGAAGTCGGTTTGTATTTTACTATTTATTTATGCATATATAATACAAAACAGTAATATATATCCTTATAAATAAATTTTAAATTTATTTATCAAACTAAATTAAATTATATCAAATAAAACTATAAATTATATTACAAAGTAATAGAAATTGGTATGTATTCTTTTAAAAATGATATTTATTTCAAATCTAATTGGTATGTTGTCAATGTAATAAAAATAAATAATTATTTATATAGATTCTAAAATTACATATAATGTTAAAAAACTATGAAGTACGACTGATACGACACTCGATGTATTAGACATCTAATTAAGTAAAAAAAATAATCTATTTTGTTTAATATTAAATAAACATATTCTACACTTATGTATATACATATTATCATATTATTTTTATTTATTTAAGATATATATTTTTGTACTTATGTAATAGTAAATAATATCGATATTTTTATATGATATAAGTAAAAAAAATTCAACACGGGTTGACATTTTTATTTAATGTACGAGTGTATAATCATTATGATTAAAAACATATAATTTGACAATTTAACAAAAACCCAAAGTAATGTTTTATATAAAATTAAATTATTAAATTATTTTAGTTTAAAAAAAATATAAAAAATGTAATATTTTTTACAAAATCTTTCTAATTCAACACCCCTGTAATATACGGGTATTGTACTAGTACTATATTAATTGCATAAAATATTATGAATAATTTAATTTTTAAAAATTTAAATGATTATGACCAATTAATTAATTGAAAAAATATAAAATTATTTTTGCTATAGTAATTATTTACACAATTTTAAAGAGTTTGTTATGCCATTCAAACAAATTAGCAATCTAAAAAAACTTGTTTAGTGAGATGAATAAAAAATATTCATTTTAACATAAATAGATTGAAGAATATGTTTTGCTATAATTTTATTTTTTTATAATTGTGTAATTTTAATAAGGGTTTCAGTGTGAGCTTATAATTAGTTAATAGTATTAGTAATTATTATATGATAGAATAATAAAAGAATGTAATTATACTTGACTAATGCAAAATATAACGATTAGTATTCATAATTTAATGAGAAAAATGAAAGAAAATAATTTAAATTAAGCAGTCTATAATTATATATAGATATTTGCGATAATTTTTAGTACCAAGCTACTAGTCCAAAATACAATGTACTTTAGTTTGAATAATATGTAAAAATATATATAGATATTTGCGATAATTATTACCAAGCTACTATTCCAAAATGCAATATACTCTTTGAAAGTATCTGAATTGAGATTTTGATTTATGAAGTGTTGGATTTTTTGAGGTATTGATTTGAGGTGTGATTTGTGGTATTGAGCATAGCACTAGAGCACTATTTATAGTTGTAGGAGAGAGAGTCTTGGAGAAAAAGACATCAATTTGATTGGTCCTTCATGATTTGATATAATCTCTTTCCTTATTCTAAGATTTGATATAATCTCTTTACTTGTTCTAAGATATGACTTGGTGGGCAAGAAATATTTACTTTAGAAATTAAATATCTTATTTATCTTGGATTTATCTCCTAAAATAAATAAAGACATTAATTAATAAAATATTAAATTTCAATGTCTACGATATCAATTACAATTGTACAATCATCTATATATTAGTTGCAATTGATCTACCATGGTTATTAGGGCTGACATACTTTTTTTTACATATGTTCATACTTTCATTATAAGATGTCATATATTAAAAAATAATATAAATAAAAATATGTCATTTTATAGTATAATTATGCATTTTATATCTTTGTACATATGTTCATATTTTTATTAACAAATATCATATTTTAAAAATAATATTAATAAAAGTATGATATTTTATAGTATCAATATGCATATTAGCTTATAGAGTAGCGACTAATGATTAAATTATCTTACTCAAGAATTTGTATAGTTGCAAATATTACAGTTATTACGGCCTGCTATGTACAGTACTTCACCCGGTATATAGAGGATCGATATAACACAAAGGATAGTGTAACAAAGTACTATATATTTGTAATTTTTGACCGTCACCT